TCATCCTAAAGCAAAGTTCTTAACTCGAGGTACTATTTCTGGATTAGTGGAGTCTGTAACCTGAAGCATATGTAACCCGAAGTACCACTGTATATGTGTTTAAGGAAACTATCCAATGCTCAGCTTATGCTAATGGTAAAGGTAAAGGGACCCCTGACCATTAGGTCCAATCGCAGACGACTCTGGGGTTGCAGCGCTCCTCTCGCTTTATTGGCCGAGGGAGCTGGCGTACAGCTTCCGGGTCATGTGGCCAGCATGACTAAGCCGCTTCTGGCGAACCAGAGCAGTGCACGGAAATGCCGTTTACCTTCCCACCAGAGCAGTACCTATTTATCTACTTGCACTTTGACATGCTTTCGAACTGCTACGTTGGCAGGAGCTGGGACCGAGCAACGGGAGCTCACCTAGTTGCCGGGATTCGAACTACCAACCTTCTGATCGGCAAGCCCTAGGCTCTGTGGTTTAACCAACAGCGCCACAGTGCCACCTGCGTCCCTTATGCTAATGGTAGCACCTTGGAATTTGAAATAATTCCTGAGCGCTGGTGGATCTAAGCTACGAATCCTATGCCCAAGAGCCTTATGCTGGCATGATGTCGGTGGTATACCAGTGTATCCCCACTGTTGGTGGAACTCTACCAGTGGAAGTACCAAAAACAGGGCGGAGGGAAGCTCAGTTTGAATCCTATTCTTCTTCAGAGCCCACTCATTCATTCATTCATTCATTTATTTATTTATTTTCTATACCACCCTATACCTGAAGGTCTCAGGGCCTTTCACATAAAAAATAAAATACATAAAATCAAAACAAAACCAACAACCCAATAAATAAAACCCCCAAAAGAGCCAGCATTTTTTAAAAGGGTGTAGGATGTAGATCAGGCTTCTTCAACCTCGGCCCTCCAGATCTTTTTGGCCTACAACTCGCATGATCCCTAGCTGGCAGGACCAGTGGTCAGGGATGATGGGAACTGTAGTCTCAAAACATCTGGAGGGCCGAGGTTGAGGAAGCCTGATGTAGATCAAGTCAGGCAAAGGCCTGGTTGAAAAGACCCATAACAGCAAAAATGCTGAGGCTGAAAGTTAAAATGCTACCCTTTAAGGTTGCGTACACCCTACAATGAAAGCACCTGAATTCCCCCAAATAATTCTGGGAACTGTATGCCGTTTAACCGTCACACAGCTACAACTCCAAGCACACTTAACCAAATACAGCTCCAAGTATTCCGTAAGGGAAGTAAATGTATGGTGTGTAAACTGCCTAACTCAACCGGGGGGCTGAAAGACAATACTCTGCAGCTTGCTTCTCGTTGCTTAGCTGGTGGCAATAACAACAACAACAACAATTTATTTGTTCCCCAGCCACTCTGGGCGGCTTCCAACAAAGATTAAAAATACATTAAAATGTCACACATTAAAAACTTCCTTGAACAGGGCTGCTTTCAGATGTCTTCTAAATGTCAGGTAGTTGTTTATCTCTTTGACATCTGATGGTAGGGCGTTCCACAGGGCGGGCGCCACTACTGAGAAGGCCCTCTGCCTGGTTCGCTGTAACTTGGCTTCTCGCAGGGAGGGAACCGCCAGAAGGCCCTCGGCGCTGGACCTCAGGGTCTGGGCAGAATGATGGGGGTGGAGACGCTCCTTCAGGTATACTGGGCCGAGGCTGTTTAGGGCTTTAAAGGTCAGCACCAACACTTTGAATTGTGCTCAGTGGGTCCACCCAATGAGTGGATAGCGCATCCATGGTGCCACCAGAAAAGTGAGGAGAAGCAACAGCAGCTTCTGGTGAGTTCTCACAAGAGCCCTGCAATATCTCGCCAGATCCTGGGAGACACCTCTGCATCCTCACTTCTTTGGCAGCAGGGGTGGTGGCACCAGAGAAGCCAGGAGAAGCAGTGGTAAGATCTCAGAGAGCCCTCCAAGCTCTCATGAGCTCTCACCAGAACCTGGAATCCACCATCGCTGCTTCTCCATTGGTTTCGCTGCCCAAGGTGGCTGTCTCAGTCTGCCTCATGGATGGGCCAGCGATGGACACATCTAGGCTTCCAGTGGGGTCCAATTCAAACTTATGTCAGCAGATTTAGGTTGAACAGTTGACGTGGACTTGCTGCTCTCATCAAGTGGCGGATTTACATATAAGATAAACAAGCTATAGCTTAGGGCCCCACTCTCTTGGGGGCCCCAAAAAAATTTAAAGGGGAAAAAACTGAATGTACATTTCCAAAATATAAGATAAAAAACAAATAAAATCAAACCTACATACAGCAACAGTGTTTTGTATTGTGTAGGCTCCTATGATGTAAGTAATGGGCCCCGCCTGCTAGCCTGCTACCAATATCACTGGTTTGCTCATTTCTAGATATAGGGTGCCTACATTCTGCATGGACTGGTTGCATGGCAACATATGCAAATTGATTTAGATACCTATTATGTCCATAAATTACCATATAGCATATATTCAACACAAAAAACAGCGGCAATTTGTTGTTGACAAAGGACTGCTGGACATATAAAGGGCCTCATTACCTTCAGTAGCTTAGGGCCTCATCGAACCTAAATCTGGCCCTGCTCACAACAAACATGCTTCCAAAAAACACATTAGATCAAACTTTTTATGGTAATGAAAGTGATGGGGAACACACTGGGAAGTGTGGAATAACAACTACTTGCAGGGCTTTTTATTCCGCCGGAACTCACTGGAACTCTCAGGTGGGTACCACGGCCATTATAAGAGCACAAGGGAGGCGTTCATGGTGAGTTCCGGCACCTCTTTTTCTAGAAAAACAGCACTGGCTACTTGACACGATATTGCATAACCTCTGCACAAACGTTCAACAAACAAGCTTTCAAGTACCCTACCGTTGTTATTTGTCTGCTTCACGAGACAATGCAGTGACAATCGGTGAAGTCCAACTGCTGTGTTAGCAGCAATAAAATGACCGTCCCGGGGCCCAAGCCTTGGCAGTGTGTATGGCGGTCCAGGGCTGCCCAGACAACAAAACACCCACCCCAACCCCGCTCCCTCAGCCTCGCTGATATACTCCAAAGGAAAACAGAGCAATACGTTTGGCATCAGCTTAGCTGCAGCAACTGCTGGAAGGAGGCGCTATCCAAGCACCTTAGGGACTCCACTCTGGATATGTGTAGGCTTTACTTCTTAGTCTTTTCTTCTCCTGAAGATATCTAGCAATAATAATAACAATAACAATAATAATAATAATAATAATAATAATAATAATAATAATAATAATAATTTATTATTTATACCCCGCCCATCTGGCTGGGCTTCCCCAGCCACTCTGGGCGGCTTCCAAAAAAAATATTAAAATACTGTAATACATCAAACATTAAAAGATTCCCTAAACAGGGCTGCCTTCAGATGTCTTCTAAAAGTCTGGTAGTTGCTGTTCTCTTTGACATCTGGTGGGGGGGCATTCCACAGGGAGGGCGCCACTACCAAGAAGGCCCTCTGCCTGGTTCCCTGTAACTTGGCTTCTCGCAGTGAGGGAACCGCCAGAGGCCCTCAGCGCTGGACCTCAGTGTCCGGGTAGAACGATGAGGGTGGAGATGCTCCTTCAGATATACTGGACCGAGGCTTTAAAAGTCAGCACCAACACTTTGAATTGTGCTCGGAAACGTACTGGGAGCCAATGTAGGTCTTTCAAGACCGGTGTTATATGGTCTCGGCGGGCGCTCCCTGTCACCAGTCTAGCTGCCGCATTCTGGAATAGTTGTAGTTTCCAGGTCACGTTCAAAGGTAGCCCCATGTAGAGCGCGTTGCAGTAGTCCAAGCGGGAGATAACCAGAGCATGCACCACTCTGGCGAGGCAGTCTGCAGGCAGATAGGGTCTCAGCCTACGTAACAGATGGAGCTGGTAAACAGCTGCCCTGGACACGGATTTGACCTCCAAAGCAATGGATGTTTAGGATCAGTTTTCTTTCTCTTATATGGGCTACCTTCCTAGGTTGATGAGCCCCTTTGCCCCTCACTTCCCTCTACAGCATGTGCAGAAACCTCTCTCTCTCTCATTTTTATTAAAAAAAATTGTTTTACAATTTAGAGTATTCATTTCAACAACCTTAAAATATCAATGACTTCCCTTCTTCTCTTTCCAGGGTTCATTTTGCATAGCATAAATCCCTGCATATGTTATATAAACTAAACCATTCAGTATTCCATTATTACTTCCATCAACACTTATTTACACTGCTAAATTTATCTTAATGCTGCCCACGTTTTCAAGTGCACACAATTTCCCCCCATATATTCAATAAACATTTTTCAATCTTCTTTAAACAAATGTTCTTCCTGTTCTCTTATTCTATATGTTAGATCCGCAAGCTGCGCATATTCCATCAGTTTAAGTTGCCATTCTTCTTTAATTGGGACCTTGCTCGTTTTCCATTTGGGGGCTAACAAAACACGGGCCGCCATGGTGGCATTCATAAATAACCTTTTTGTGACACCTGGGAATTTCCATCTGAATTATCCCCAACAAAATGGACTCTGGTCTTTTTGGAAAGGTGCTTTTAATCCCCCCCCCCCAATTCATTATAAATTATTTCCCAATACTCTGTTATCCTTTTACAGGTCCACCACATACGAAAGAATGTACCCTCGACTTCATTGCATCACCAGCATTTATCTGATTCAGTCTTATACATCTTAGCAAGTCTAAAAGGTAAAGGGACACCTGACCATTAGGTCCAGTCATGGCCGACTCTGGGGTTGCGGCGCTCATCTCGCTTTATTGGCCAAGGGAGCCGGCGTACAGCTTCCGGGTCATGTGGCCAGCATGACTAAGCCGCTTCTGGCGAACAAGAGCAGCGCATGGAAACGCCATTTACCTTCCCACCAGAGCAGTACCTATTTATCTACTTGCACTCAAACGTGCTTTTGAACTGCTAGGTTGGCAGGAGCAGGGACCGAGCAACGGGAGCTCACCCCGTCGTGGGGATTCGAACCGCTGACCTTCTGATCGGCAAGTCCTAGGCTCTATGGTTTAACCTACAGGGCTACCCGTGTCCCTTAGCAAGTCTACTCGGAGTTAAATACCATCTGTAAATCATTTTCATGTAGTTCTCCTTCAGGGAATAAAACATTCTTGACCATTGGACCCGCTATCGGTCTCGTCCGGAGCCTGTCTGAATGCAGAGGAAAAAACATTCAAGTAAATGCAGTAATTATTTCCTAAGGCTGCAGTTCTCTGGAATCCTATGAACCTAGCAGTACTTCTAACAGTACAGTCCTATATATATATGTCTATGCAGAAGTTAAACCCCAGTGAATTCAATGGAACCTGCCTTCATGCAAATGTGCATAAGACTGCAGCCTAAGTAAACATGTACAGGACTGAGCTGCACACGGGCAGATTGTTAGCTATATTGCCCTACAACCAGGCGTTGTAAAATGGGATCAGTGAGCCCTCCAGTGGTATTTTTCAATGTTACATGATGAGAAAGTAATAGCAAAGAGAGTGTGTATACGGCACATGGTAAGTATGGTAGTCTATTTATCTAGTATTTGCTTAGTTTTACACAAATTCAATCTTTTGGAAGTTTCACGCAGCATCATTACAGAAAGCCAGTTTGAAGCTGTTGGAATAATCGCCAACCATCTGTTCCCTTTCATCTGCCTCCTCATTTGAAAAATATATAAATTGCAAAATCTAAACAGAATGTAAGATGTTGAACCCAAACCGTTCATAGACCTGAAAAAAGACAAACATTTTGGTTGGTTTTGAGTTTGTTTGTTTTTAGCACAGTGAATAATACTTTCAAAGGTGAGTGCTGAACTTTTTTTTTTGAGTTAGGACCTTTGTTTTGTTTTCCTCTTTCTGTTTAGGTGATCTTCTGCACAGCCATCATGCTCTACATTTAACAATTATGGGAAGACTTGTTGTTGTTGTTTAGTCGTTTAGTCGTGTCCGACTCTTCGTGACCCCATGGACCAGAGCACGCCAGGCACCTCTGTCCTCCACTACCTCCCGCAGTTTGGTCAAACTCATGCTGGTAACCTCGAAAACACTATCCAACCATCTCGTCCTCTGTCGCCCCCTTCTCCTTGTGCCCTCCATCTTTCCCAGCATCAGTGTCTTCTCCAGGGAGTCTTCTCTTCTCATGAGGTGGCCAAAGTACTGGAGCCTCAGCTTCACGATATGTCCTTCCAGTGAGCACTCAGTGCTGATTTCCTTAAGAATGGATGCGTTTGATCTTCTTGCAGTCCATGGGACTCTCAAGAGTCTCCTCCAGCACCATAATTCAAAAGCATCAATTCTTTGGCGATCAGCCTTCTTTATGGTCCAGCTCTCACTTCCATACATCACTACTGGGAAAACCATGGCTTTAACTATACGGACCTTTGTTGGCAAGGTGACGTCTCTACTTTTTTTTTTTACATAATTTTTTTATTAATTTTCCAACATAAATTAAAAACAATACAATAAACAATACATAGACACACAAACATATAAACACGTATAATTTCACAACCTCTTTTTTCATAAATCTTACTTCCCCGACTTCCCCATACCTCCCCCTTCTGCATCCCTATTTCAGAATTTATTCAGCAACCCCTCGCTTCAATTGACTGATTACTCATTTTCTTTTTCTTTTTTCCCTTTCTTCTCTTACTTAATCAATTTACAGCTGTAATTCTTTATTTTTCTTAACCTTGACATTTTAGCACTCATTAATTTTACAACAATTCTTAAGGTAAACTTTAAATTTCTTCCAATCTTCATCCACCGTCTCTTTTCCTTGGTCACGGATTCTGCCGGTCATCTCCACCAATCCCATATAGTCGATCACTTTCGTCTGCCATTCTTCCAGCGTGGGTAGTTCTTGTGTCTTCCAATACTTTGCTAAAAGTATCCTTGCTGCTGTGGTAGCATACATAAAAAACGTCCTATCCTTTCTTGACACCAAATGGCCAACCATGCCCAGGAGAAATGCCTCTGGTTTCTTATGAAAGGTACACTTAAGAACCTTCTTAATTTCATTATAGATCATTTCCCAAAAGGCCTTAATCCTCGGGCAAGTCCACCAAAGGTGATAAAAGGTGCCTTCAGTTTCATTACATTTCCAGCATTTATTGTTGGGCAAGTGATAGATTTTTGCAAGCTTGACTGGGGTCATGTACCACCTATAAATCATTTTCATAATATTTTCTCTTAAGGCATTACATGCCGAAAACTTTATACCGGTGGTCCATAACTGTTCCCAGTCAGCAAACATAATGTCATAACCAATGTCTTGTGCCCACTTAATCATGGCTGACTTAACCATTTCATCTTGTGTATTCCACTTCAGCAGCAGGTTATACATTCTTGACAAATTCTTAGTATTGGGTTCTAACAATTCTGTTTCTAATTTTGACCTCTCCATCTGAAAGCCAACTTTCCTGTCTTGTTTAAACACCTCCATTATTTGATGATAATGAAGCCAATCTCGTACTTTAGACTTTAATTTCTCATAGCTCTGTAATTTAACTTTTTCACCATCTTGCTCTAAAATTTCACAATATTTTGGCCATTTAGATTCCATATTAAGTTTTTTCACCTCCTTAGCTTCCGGTGACGTCTCTACTTCTCAAGATGCTGTCTAGGCCTGTCATTGCCCTTCTCCCAAGAAGCAGGCGTCTTTTAATTTCGTGGCTGCTGTCACCATCTGCAGTGATCATGGAGCCCAAGAAAGTAAAATCCCTTCATGGATCACTGCCTTGCCGTGGCGAAGGGGCTTGAAGAACTCAGAGAAGCTATGAACTACGCCGAGCAGGAAACACAAGATGAACAGGTCATAGTGGAGAGTTTTGACCAAACGTGATCCACCTGGAGGAGGAACCGGCAAGCCACTCCAGTATCCTTGCCAAGAAAACTCCATGGACAAAGACAACAGGCATATATGGGAAGACTTACACCACTGTAACTAGAAAATTATGAATATAATCTTTTACATACAAATGATGACTGGTTCTGATGAATACACAAAGCTTATTGGGCCCTTGATGTTAATCCTGGGGATATAACATTTCAAGATTCATAGGAAGGTGTCATTGCATTGCTTTACTGTGACTGCATGCACACTATACATTTAAAGCACATGACTTCCCCCAAAGAATCCTGGGAATTGTAGTTTGTTAAGGGTGCTGGGGTGAACTACTGTTTCCAGCATTCTAGGGGACCTGATGGGCTTTAAATGCACGGTGTGTATACAGCCAGAGTCTGGAACTGCAATAGGTAATCTAAAAAAATCAGAATTAGGAAAAATTGAGTACCGCACTATTCTGCCATCAAATTCTGCACTAATTAAAGGAAAGTAGTTACTAAGGGGGAAATATTCTAAATTCCAAATTACCAGCTCCAGTACAGAACAGGTCAACAATGACTGTTTTCCAAATATTTATGGGCCTTGCTTTATCTGAAGACTCCCAGGCGATGTATATTGGACCAGGAACCAATTTCTGAAAGGAAGATGAAGGGCAAGTTAGATGAGCACAGGTGAGGGATATGTATTCAATTCAGTTGCACTTCCGGCTTAAACAACAATGGCACAGACATTCTGGCATTGGTAAGCCAATTAACACATATAACGTGCTAAATACATATATATGTTTCAATCCACAAGTGATAGATCATGAAAGCCATTATGTCAGAATAAATTAATCTTCAAGGTGCTGCAGCACTGTTTGTTGCTTTTCTTTGCAGAAGAATGACATGGCTAATGTCCTGGAAATTACTTTACATTTATTATCAAGTCAGTGACACTAAGGCATTGGAAGTACTGTAAACACAACACCAATCAGATGCAAACAATGCTCAGACAAGATAAGAAGACCGTTGGAAATACAACACCCTGACAAATAGATAAGCACACCATGTCTCATTTTGAGAAGGGGCTAGTAGTCGAGAAAGCAGATTCCAACCCATTGGCTAAATGGCCTTTTGCCACCTTAAAGACTAATAAACATATTTATTGTACTCTCTGGAAGTTCATTGTTTGTAATGCTAGAGAGGGCTCTTCTGGACTGGTTTGCTTAGATGTTCTGTCGGGAACACTATTTCCTCCCTCCGGCATGGCGTCCTGGTGAGTTTGTGACAGAAGAAAGGTTTGAATGAGGGACTTCCCTACACAGACTTAGAGAAGTGCCGCTCAAAGGGCATGAATGTAAGGCACGGGTGGGGAACCATTTTTAGCCCAAGGGCCACATTGTCTTCTAGGCTAGCTTCTGAGGGCCACATGCGCCAGTGGAGAGCAGGATCAGAAGTAAAAGTGTGCAGAGCCATGAATGCAAGATTTTACCTTTTCACAGCAGGCTACATAGACTTGCACATCCCTTTCTATCCTCCATCCTGCCAAGCAATAGGCATTTTCAGAGTTCCAGGGCACACTCCAGTCAGGCAAAAGCGCCCATAGGGTGTGGGCTAGGGAGAGATTGTGTGGTGTTGGCAGAGTCCCAAGGGCCAATGAGAGATGTCTGAGGGCTGCATCCGGGCCCTGGGCCTGAGGTTCCCCAACCCCTGGTGTAAGGTTACATTTCTGATCCCTCTAACCCCTGGCAGCTTCCCCTCCTAAAAATATATCCTTCTAATCAAAAGACCCTCCAGAATAAAATGGCCTAGGTGCATGAGCTGAGAGAGGAGAGGCGAATTACAGATTTCCAGGCAGAGGCACATTTAAGACGTTATAGATTTTTTGGGGGGGAGGGATTTGCAGTCAAACAGTGCTAGTTAGTATGTGAAGAGGTTAAGGACCACAGACTTCTAAATTTCTAGAGTAGACTCTGTGATGTCACATCCCCTCTTCTCCTGTCCCTCCTTCCCCACCCCGCTGTCTCTTGAACCATGTAACTGAAGGTGAGGCTCCAGACTTAGATCATGTCTTTGATTCCAGCTTCTGTATTTTGTAACCAAGGATACCTAAGCTGTGTAGTTTCTGATGTGGCATTGAACGATACGCAAGTGAGACCTCTGATTACTGTAAGTAAAGCTTTTAAACTTACTTGACATTGTAGTCCATTCACTCCGGGATGGTTAGAGGCAAGGGGACCACACTAACAGCACTTAATACTGAGATGATGATGATGATGATAATAATACTTTATTGTTAATAATAATAATAACAATAATAATAATAATACTTTATTATTTATACCCCGCCAATCTGGCTGGGTTTCCCCAGCCACTCTGGGCGGTTTCCAACAGAATATTAAAATACAATAATCTATTAAACATTAAAAGTTTCCCTTAACAGGGCTGCCTTCAGATGTCTTCTAAAAGTCTGGTAGTTGTTTTTCTCTTTGACATCTGGTGGGAAGGCGTTCCACAGGGCGGGTGCCACTACCAAGAAGGCCCTCTGCCTGGTCTAACAGCCTATATTTGCCACACTTTGCAAACATTGTGCCTATTTCTTTTTTGGCTAGAGAGTGAGTCAAGCCCGGCATACTTTTTGAATTCAGGCAGTCAACTGTTTTTGTTTTGCACTTTCCACACACATGTGGAACTTCAGGATTAACTGGTATTCTCCAGTTATTTCCCAACATTGTGTGGGGAAGGGCTTACTTTACACTTACTTTGACAGTTTTTCTTGCTGCTCCCTTAGCCTGGAGTATGTCTATCTGACCTTTTTTCTATTTGTTTCTCCAGTGTGCATACTGAGGTGAATGCATTTCTGCACCCAGGTGAACCTTTGAACGAGACATCAGCATCCATAAGCGACTATCAGGTGGTCTGGTAGATATAGTATTTAGGATGCTTCACTGGCTTTTATGGACAATTTAAAGCCCTATTTCTATTGTTTCCAGTGTGAGTGAAGGAGGCACTTTGCTTGAAGTCATGTCACAGACAAATGGGGGCCATGGACCAGTCGTGAACAAACTGGGGCTTGTAGAGTAATTCAAGATCAATCAGGCATCCTTTAAAAAACAAAGCAAGCAGAAGATCCAGAAGTCTGTTTAAAAAATAACAATATATTGAAGCTCAGAAATTCAAAGGCCTGGAAGAATTTTTTAAAAAATGCTTTACTGAGAACTATAACTGCAAATTAGAAAGTGGGATTTGGGAACAAACTTCAGTCTATACATAAAGCAACTCCCAGTGATTTGTGTGCAATTGCTGTCTGCTCTCCTTGTCTCCTCAGCAAGAGACAAGTTTCCCCTTTCTCCCTTTCTTACTCCCTTTCCCCTTTGTGTCATATATTTCAGATTGAATACCAAGCAAGGAGGGACTGTCTTTATATGGGAATGTTTACAGCAAGCGGGGCGGGGGGAATGCTTTAAATCCATGACACACCAAATGCAAATTACTTCCATCCTAATTGTGCAAGAGCCGCTGCCTCCAGTTTAGAAATAGTTTGGGGTGGGGAGAGACCCTATATGCAAAACTGCACAGAAAATTAAAGCACTGGTTTAGCAAACTTTGCACACGGCCAGGAGCGATATAGGTTGCCATAATACCCGGTTGGAGTTTGCTTCCGTGAATTCAAAGCGGGCTTACTCCAGAGTAAGCAGAGAGCTCTGCGCTGTTTGCAATTCCAACGGAAAAGGGTGCCGAAAAAGCCACCCAAATATCATGAACGCATTAATGTATAGGTAGGTAGCCGTGTTGGTCTGCCGTAGTCGAAACAAAATAAATTAAATTAAATTAAGTTAAAATAAATAAAATAAAATAAATTCCTTCCAGCAGCACCTCGATCGCTGTGCAAGGAGGTAGCCAGGAATACAACCCCTTCCAGACAGACAGGGGAAACTACCCAAGCGCGCTCCCGCGGCGGCGCGCAATGGGGGGGCGGGGGGCGCGAGGGGAAGAAACTCAAACTCCCCACCCAAGTTAAACACGGAACTCGCCCAGACCAGGAGAGTGTGGGGCGCGCACGCGCAGTTCGCGGCAGCCTTCCGGGGAGGAGACAGACAGAGAGAGAGAGGGGGCGCGGGGCGGGGCCTGGAACCGAATCCCCACAGGCCCGCGACAGTCACGCGGGCAGCGCGCGCCCCGATTAGCCCTCCGCCGCCCAATCAGCGTCGAGCTGAGCGATTCAAATCGAGTCCGGGCGGGCGGGTGGGCTGGCTTTAAGGGGCGAGTTAGTTTAGCGCTGCCGCCGCCGCCGCTTGAGGTGGGAGAAGGAAGAGAGAGAGGAAGGGGGCGGTTTCCGTGAGGCGCCCGTGGTCGCCGCCATCATCGTCGCCTTCGTCATGGCCCACAAGCAGATCTACTATTCGGACAAGTACTTCGACGAGAACTACGAGTACCGGTGAGGGAGGCCGGGGGGGGGGGTGTCCGGGGTCGGTGGGCCTCTTCCTGCCCCTTCGCCTGACGAGGCTGCCGCTGGGCCCGCCGCTCTTTCATGGCGTCCCTCGCCGCCCTCCGCTTTCCCTCCTTTCTTCCCGCCCAGACTTCCTTCCCAGTACCTCAGGAGACGGGGGGAGGGGGGACAGAAAACGGCGGGCCTGTTTTTCTCCCTCCTCCTTTCCCGCCGGCTGTGGGGGTGGGAACGGCCTCGGGACAAAGGACGGCGCGGGGCGAGGCCGGAGGAGGCCGTTGCGCCTGCCCGCTTCACTCACAGGCCTTTTGCGCGTGATTCGAACCCAGCTCCCTGTCCCGCCGCCCCGCCGCTCCATTTTAGCCCCGTGGTAACTTGCTGGCCTAAAATCCGCCACCGATTTTGGGGTGTTTGGGTCAGGGTCTCTGGGGCCGACCGCCACGGCCATTTCAATAGGCTCGTTTCCGTATGTTAGCTTTTGGCCTTTGCAACGTTGACTTTGCGTCTTGCTAGTGGCATACCTCCCAGCATTTCCCCGACGGAAATAGGGACGTCCCATTCCATAATAATAATAATTTTATTATTTATACCCTTCCCATCCGACCCGGTTGCCCCAGCCACTCTGGGCGGTTCTCAACAGACTATATAACAAAAGAGAATATTAAGTTGTTGTTTTTTAACTTAACCTTTACAGGGCTGCCTTCTGATGTCTTCTAAAGGTTGTCTAGTTCCTTATCTCCTTGGCTCCGGGGTTGCTTCACTCCATACCTGCCAACATTTCTGCAATGAAAATAGGGACATCCTAAGGAAAAGCAGGGCATTCCGGGATCAAATCAGAAACTGGGACAGCTTCTGAAAATCTGGGAATGTCCCTGGAAAATAGGGACACTTGCAAGTGCCTGCAGATAACACCATAAAAGTCACAGTTAGGATATTTATTGCCCAGTAGTGGGAGAGACGACTTTTGTTTCGGGTTTCCTGCATGGATGCAGCTTGCAAGAAGCAAATGGAAGTTTACAAGCCGCCTGATCCTGAGTTTTCTTGTTGCATAGCAAGCTGCCGGGTTTCTCTAAAATGAGTTAAAAATCTAAAGTAGATATCAAAGAACACCTACAGTGCTGTTCCTTCAACTTAAGCTATTATAGTAATCAAAAATCACAGGCAGAGGTCCAGCCTGAAACTTAAATGTTCAAGCAGTTCACAAATGCTATGGAGTCTGACATAAAGCTTCTTTACAAGTTGTACAGAACTAATTGTGGCTGTATAAATGTGAGTTTGTGTGTTTTCTGTCCCTGGCAGGCATGTGATGTTGCCAAGAGAGCTGTCAAAGCAAGTACCAAAAACTCATCTAATGACTGAAGAAGAATGGAGAAGACTTGGTGTTCAGCAAAGCCTTGGCTGGGTCCACTACATGATTCATGAACCAGGTAAAAAAGAACATCTCTACCTAACAAGCTATTCCAGAAATACTTTCTGTAAAGCTTTTAGGATGTCTTGACGCGGGAGAGGGACAAAGTCACTTCATACATTAAGTAGCAAGGGCTAGACAGAAAGTGTTTACTGAAAACCCTATATTATCGGCCATTAAGTGGGATATCCGGCCACAGACTTAAAACAAACTTTCATTTTTTCTCTTTACAGAACCACACATCCTTCTATTTAGAAGACCACTTCCAAAAGGCCAGCAGAAATGAACAGCCTCTCTAAGCTTCTGGAACTTTATGTATAAATGTATATATGTTGGTAGTATTCAGTGAATACTTAAGAAAAATATACAAACAAGTCATTACCTGTGCATGAGCTGTATTATTCACAGCAACAGAGCTCAGTAAAATGCAAAGTAGGCTGCTATGGTCTTGAATTCTCACTTAACAAGTTAACAAGTGCCTATTTGATTTTTTCAGTTTTGTTCAATAAAGTTCACAACTTTCATGTAATGTGTTGATTATAAAAATCTTCAAAGATCTGTGCCTTTTTATTCTTAGTAATGAAGCTTCTTCCAACTGTTGAAGCAATTCATCCTGTGGCTTTTCAGCTGCTGAAATAAACATATTTTTAATGCTAAATCTATGCATTTCATGATTTTAGTTTACCCATGTCCACATTATAAAAGCCATCTATTGGTACTTTGTGTATAAAATGCAATACAATTGATGACAATAATATAGAGGTTTGTTTGTAGTATTTATATCACTTACCTAGTTTGTTTTGCTAGAATCATTTTACAAGAGAAGGAAAAAACAGGCTTAATGGCTCAGGTGAGTGCGAATAAGAATGATCTACTGCCCTCATCCAGCTCTGTACAGGTCTGCTTAAGACAAAGATCCTGTAATGAGCTGCCTGGCTCCCACCTCTCTCCAGTAGCAGCTGGTCATGGCTGCTCTCCACTAGTGTGTCTTTTTATTCAGAGCCAGGTTGGGATAATAGGAAATAGGAAGCAATTGTAAAGGAGGGGGGATAGCAATAGGTCCAAGTTCATTCTTTGGTAGATGCTTTTACCCATGTCAAACTGCACTGAATAGCAGAATACATCCCCAGTTTCCTGCCCCAGAGGTTGGATTTTAGGGGATGGTTGCTGACTTGTCTAAAGGCATTTGCCTAGCATGTTTATTACTGCAGGGCCACAGCAAACAGATTGTGGCTGCCTACTTGGGGTGGTCAGAAGTCATTCACTCCTGATTATGGCCGTAGTTGGTAGGTAAAGATAAATGTGGTTTAAATTGACAGTATTGATTTGCATTATCAGCTCTCCATGAAGTTTCTGTTCAGTCTCAATGAAATAGTAAAGTTATTTTTAAGTATTAGCCAGAACTCTTTATAGACCAGGTTTTATTGCCTCTTGTAACCCGGAGTCTTATTTTCATAGGTCCCATCAAAGGGAATGTTTAATGTGATGCTAAAACATGGCAATTACCTGGAGCATGTTCCCCTTTGATTACTTGTTGCTCATGTACAGCATTTTATTTTATTTTTAAATGTAGATCAATATATTCTGTATATGAAAAATTCTGATTCCATTTTCCCCCTGTAAATTATGGCAATATAGCAGATTTGCAATTCTGGTTTTGCTAGTTATTGGAAGGTGGAAATCTTGTTGAATCACTTTGACTTCAACGAGTTGAGTGTGTTTTGTACAGACACAAATGCATATTTTCTACCACAAATTAAAGCAAGAGATTCTTAGGAAGCTTAATTCTGTACCAATGCCACACTCTGCAAGGTACCTTGCTTGCTCTCAGAATGACCACATCCACATTGCTTCTCAAAGCATTCAGTAATCACCAAAATTAATATACTAATAAGATATTCTGAAGACAATTGAATTTTATTTTTAGTTGTACAAGGATATATTTTTAAGTAAATGCTAGATCACATACCTTTCCTAATGTAATTTTCAAAATGGCAGTGCTATAAAATCCAGCTTCATTCTTGCCTATGTCACTGGTGTTGCAACCTTCACGCCCCGCCCCATACAGATGCAGTGAGAATTCAACTGCTGATTTAGGCCACAGTTGTAGCCAGGTCTGTTCAGAAACAAGCCTTATTCAATTCAATGGGACTTACTCCTAGGTAAGTATGTTTAGTATTACAGCCTTAGACATCTCTGGTGTGGCATGACAGGAATAAAGCAGGCAGCTGTACAGTTTACTGTTACTTAATTATATTGCACCCTTCCAAATGAGTCCAGGGCAGTGAACAAATCAATTTTTTAAAAAAGCATAAAAATAGACATGCGACCAGTGATTTCAGGGGTGCCAGGAACAGCCATCAAACGCCTGGGTAAACGGAATGTTTTAAAATTCCTACTGAAAGCCAAATACTGAGGGAAGCATGCCTTGCCACAGATGAAAAGCTACCACTGAAAAGGCAGTTGGGTCAATTCCAGCCCCTAGTGGTGGCACCACTAAACTCAAGTACTGAATGTAGGGTCCAAGGTGGTTGACATTGGGGTAGGTGCTCTGTAGTTAGGAAGTCCAAAGCCATTTTGAGCTTTATATGCCAGTATATAAAAGTATATATATATATATATATATGCCAGTATATAAAAGGCTCCACTGCAAAGTACACAAACTCTTGTTTGGCTATGTACTTCTGCAGTAGTCTTAACAGGCTTTTATAAGTTATTTTTAGGCTGTTTCATACTTTATCTTGGTGAGCAATTTTGAAAGGATAGCTCTGTATTGTTTAAAACTGCCCTAATAATAGAGTATTATTTATACAGCTGCTATCAATGTATTTTGTTGTAAGACATTTTGGGTAGGATACATCAAAAAATGCGGAGTATAAATGATTTTATAAAAAATAGGGATGTATGTGTATGTTTTTACCCATAAAAATATATATATAATTTCTATGGGTAAAAATTCTTACAGAAAAATAATTTCTATTAAAACTTACAGCATTACTAATGATAAACATTTTTGTATCTATAGATTGCTCATTTTTGTAGCTAGCAAGAGATTGAAGCTGCAAAATTTCTGTTGTACACACTGCCTATATGGTGAAGCTAAAATTGATTTAAAACCTTTTTTATAGTATATAATGTTAGATAAGAAACAGGACAGTGGTGTCTGTATTCACTGTAGTGGTTACATGCGGAGAGAAGTAAGTCATGACTGTCCATTAGACAACTGATTAAATTATGAGACAAACATTAGAAAATATTTGACACACACAAAAAGTTATTTGCATTGCTTTTTGTTGATTTTTTTTTTGGGTGCAATTGTAAACACAGATGCAACCTCAACTGCACAAAGTATGACTAAAAACATTCAAAATACTGGATAATGAGACATAAAGTTCTGCATATACATGAAACCCACTTCCTAGTTGAATCTGGTAAGTTATAATGCATGGGTTTCCTATTGCAGCTGTTTTGTTATTCCAACTATTTTCTTCATTGGAGGAATCAAGGTAATGGGTCGATAATATTGATAAGGTGTATTGATACAACCCAGATGTGCTGAAAGCACTTCCCTTCCTTGCTCTCCGTTATTCGTTTATAAACAATAAAACCATGCCAAGCAGCGTGGAAAAACTGGCTGCATTATTATGAACACAGCAGCCCATCATCCGCATTTGGAGACGCTAAACAGGCTTTCGGTCGAGCTACGCCGGCCTTTCCCTTTTGCCCCTGGTGTCATGGCGACGGATCACGCGAGCTGGGGCGCGGCTGCTGATTGGCCTCTCGAGTTCAACCCTCGCGTCGCGCGCCCGTCGCGTCTTTAGTGCGCGTCGCCGGGCCGGTGGTAGAAGGGCAGGGTGGAAGCCGCCGTTGGTGGGGCGTTGACCTTTTGTCGCCCCCCACCCGCGCCATGTCTTCAGAGAGGGAAGCGGGCAGCGAGGTAAGGCGGGGAAGCGGCGGCGGCGAGGCCGGGGCTGTGGAGAACGGAAGGCGAAAGAGCGGCTCCCTCCAGCCTCCCGCGCGCCGCGGCTGGTTGTTATGTAAACGGCGGCCGGAGAGGTCCTGGAAGGGGAAAGGCAAAGGCGCTCTCCGTTCTGGTGGCTCCGCTGAACCTGCTCTCGCTTAACGTGTGTGTCTATGGCTCAGGTCCTGGCAGGAGGCCTGAACAAACAAAACAATAAAAAGGGGGGGGGAGGGAGATGCCCTTTAAAAAAAAAAAATCTCAATCACCCCGAAGAAAGTCTGTTTCTCTCTGCAGAAAGGAAAATGAGGGACAGCAACACCAGAGAGTCCAAAACAAGCCTCCCTTCCCAAGTGGTGCTCAGGAAATAATAATAATATATTTGATGTAGCATGTCTTCTGCTGTTGTCATCGGGAGAAGGCACTGCAAACTTTTTCCTCTTTTTTTTTTTTGGCGTCGAAGAAGTGCAATGTTGAGTATATTTGTCAGATTTTTTTAAAAGGACTGCCCCCCCCCGGGGGTTTTAGCCTTGCCTCTCTTCTGCTTGCCACCACCATTCTCTTTTCAGGGCACCACTGCTTTGTTTTTAGTGGTTGTGCAATAGGGAAAGGAGCACCTGTTGATTTTTTTTTGCCAAACACACAAAATGCAAGTTTCACCTCCTGAACTGTTGTTGTCTTTGCAGGCAAGACCTCTAACAGGGGAGGGGAATGGCAGCAGCTTGTTTTAAGAATACTGGCTGCGTCGTGTGTCCTGGTCATCAACTTATTATTCTTATTTTATTTTATTTTTATTTTATTTGTATACCAACCTTCTTCTGAAGAACACAATATAAACTATTGTAGCACTTTGTGCACATAAAGTACATATACAAAAACATCACCTTTCTTGATACGGTTACAGAAACCCAACATTACTGTTTGGCCAAATAGATTTGAACCAAACCAACTTGGTCAAGGCTCTGGTTTGGGAAGCAGCTTTTGCTTCCTTCAGAAATGGCCTCTTTCCCAGAAATAAAATTCCAGAGGTATGACAGTTTTGGGTGCTAGTGCTTTCCTTTCAGTGCAGATATAGTTTACAGACATCGAAAGAGGATAAATGCTGTGGAGCAGAAAAATGGTAGCAAGAGAAGCACCTCCCACAGCTGCTCTTTTCACTCCTCTACACCACCCTAGGCTTTGCAAACTAAGCAAAAATAGTTGGTTACTATTATTTGTTTGCATGTAATGTGTAATTTTGTCCAAACGCTTACTGCTTTATTGTAGCATGGCCTAAGTTTTCAGAAGCAATTACCCATTTTGATAACTAGGATTTTGTTACGAATTTCATGTCAGATTATGCCTAGTAGCTTCAAGAATTACACATTATTTTTGCTTTGCTAGAGATGAATGTTCCCATGGGGAGAAGTAGTAAAATCTTGTTTTTCACATGGAATTTGATAGGTTGTGCATACACTCTAGCTCTTGTCCATGTGTGCTTTGCAGAATAGCTTCAAATATTTTCCTTTTCTGAATGCAGTTAATCAAAGTTTTTCACTCAGACTGGAGTAGAAGTGTCCTGTTTTTACCTATTTAAATGATACGATAGAAACAAAAAAATGAACAATTTGCAGTTTTGCTTTGAAATCAATCGTGAAAGCTTAATCTTGACTAATTTAGTTTCACTTTGCTGAGGAACAGTTGGGCTGGGGCCATTCCAT